AGTTATGCTTGTCTGCCTGTAAAAGTATGTGGAAAGGCACTGAGTCTCTGTTTCCTTGAGAGGGGAGAAGGTAGGCCATGCTCCAGGATGAACTATCTGCCAGTAAGCTATCATTCCTTCTCAGGATGGGAGCAGTAATATTCATCAAAGTGCTAACTAGGGGGCCGGCCCGGTGGCGCACTCGGTTGAGTGCGGCGCTTGGGAGCACGGCGGCGCTCCTGCCGAGGGTTCGGATCCCATATAGAGACCGGTCTGCTCACTGGCTGAGCACGGTGCGGGCATGACACTGAGGGTTGCAATCCCGTTGCCGGGTGCGACACTGAGGGTTGCAATCCCGTTGCCAGTCACGGTACGGGCGCGACACCGAGGGTTGCAATCCCGTTACCGGTCACGAAAAAGACAAAAAGGAAAAAAAAAAAGTGCTAGCTAGGCGTTAGTTGTATTAAATTTGACATTTGGTTTTTTAAACCTCTTCCTACCAGTCTGATATTGTTTTTTTTTTTTTTTTTCAAAAGATGACCGGTAAGGGTATCTTAGCCCTTGACTTGGTCTTGTCAGCACCACGCTCACCCAGTGAGCAAACCAGCCATACCTATATGGGATCCGAACCCGTGGCCTTGGTGTTATCAGCACCACACTCTCCCGAGTGAGCCACAGGCCGGCGCTGATATTGTTTTAAATACCAATTTCCACTTTACCATTTACTTGAATTGTGGCTTCCTACTTTTCTGTTATCTCTTTTTCCTCTCTTGTTCCTTTTAGTATTTCCAAGCCACACACCAATCTTAGCTAAAGCCCCTTACCTTTGATTCTGAGCTCTCTTAGTATAGGTACTATGTCTTTCACCTCAGTATTTCCCCACATCTAGCACAGTGTTTGGTATTTGGTAAATGCTCAGTTAACATTTTAAGAAGATTAATGAGTAGTGGCAATTTAGTTGGCTCTTTTGGTGGATTCTCATAGTGATTGTTATTCTAGGAAATTACATGCCATAGTGGTTAAGAGCATGGACTTTGGAATCATACAGTCCTGGGTTTGAGTCCCTACTCCAGCTCTAGTTTATTAGCTGTATGACATTTTATAAATTGTTTCATGTCTGTGAATCTATTTCCTTATCTGTAAAATGATGGTAGTAGTAGCATCTACCATACAAGATTTTTTAACCACTTTTCCTCTACAGCCTTAGCACTCTCTCCCCAGAAATGTCTTCCCCCAGTTCTTTGCTGCTTCTTGTCATTCTTGTTTTAGCTTAAATGGTATCTTCTCAGAGACCCCTCTGTATCAGGCAGGATTTGTAGCTCTAAGCAACAAAAACTAACTCTGGCTGATTATTGAAAGGATATTAAGGAAACTCACAAAACATTAGGGAAGGCCAAAGAGCCAGGCTTGAAGAATGGGCTAGAACAAGAGAAACTAGGCAACACCTGGGACCCACAACCAAAATCGTTTACAGAACCAGTCCAGAGATGACAATGCTCCATTACTGCTTACACCACTTCCACCAGCTGCTCTGGACCTTAATGGCACTGTGGCACCCCTTGCTACACCCTAGCATGGACTCTCTGTGGTCCTCTGACTCTGTGACACTAAATCTCTCTCTCTTTTTTTTTTCCTTTTTTCAAAAGATGACCGGTAAGGGGATCTTAACCCTTGACTTGGTGTTGTCAGCACCACGCTCACTCAGTGAGCTAACCAGCCATCCCTGTATGGGATCCGAACCTGTGGCCTTGGTGTTATCAGCACCACACTCACCCGAGTGAGCCACAGGCCGGCCCGACACTAAATCTCAATCCAAGGTGCAGGGTAATGTGTCTGGTAAGCATAGACTGGGCCATATGTGCACACTTTAGCTGCAAGGGAGCTTAAAAAAGAGAATCTCAGGGCCGGCCCATGGCTCACTTGGGAGAGTGTGGTGCTGATAACAACAAGGCCACGTGTTCGGATCCTATATAGGGATGGCTGGTTGGCTCACTGGCTGAGCGTGGTGCTGACAACACCAAGCCAAGGGTTGAGATCCCCTTACCAGTCATCTTTTAAAAAAAAAAAGAGAATCTCCATCACCACTGTTCCCAATTCATAGTGAGAAGGGGCTCTCCTTCCCACCAGACTCATTAAATGGAAATTCCCAGAATAAGACAGGGTCCAAATGCCGAGCAGCTATGAAACTCCAGAAATGTCCACTAAATTTCCTTTGACCTTAAATCTAAAAATAGCCAACTACTTACTCTTGTATCAGCTTGTTTTATTGTCATCGTAGCACTTTTCATTACAGTATATTTTCTTATTTGTATCATTGTTTATTGTCTGTCCCCTTCTGCTAAAGTGTATGTACCATGAGAGCAAGGACCTTGCCTCTTCTGCTCACTGCTGTATCCCCTGGGTCTGGAACAGTACCTGTAATATTGTAGAAGCTTCTTGTGTTCATTTTTTAGGTAAATAAATGGATGACTGAATATAAAGCACTTAGCACAATACCTGGCACATAGTAAGTACATAAAATTTGGCAACTTTCTATTTCTTAGCAGATTAAAACATTTATATTCTTAAAAAAAATTTTGGTGGCTGGCTGGTGTAGGGATCCGAACCCTTGACCTTGGTGTTACAACACCCTGCTGTAACCATGTGAACTAACTGGCCAGCCAGCAAAAACTTTTGTCTTACATTATTTCACTTGACCTCCACAGCAATCCTCTGAGAAAAAGGGTATTGGGGGTAAGTAATGACCCTTTTTCTGGGGATGCATACCTGGCCCCTGCAGTGTTTGTTATGGTGCTTCCAGTGCCCATGAGTCACAGCAATGAGTGCAAGAGTAGGAGAGATAAAGAGACTTGAGCAAGGTCACACAACTGGTCTTATTTAGTAACAGATACACTCAAAGCTTTGGTGTTATTTCCATTATAATAAGCCTCACCCCATATTTTTGGTGATTGCAGGAATATTGTTGTTGCTTTGGCTTTGACCATTATATCATAGACCAGAGCTATAGACACAATTGCAGACCAGTGTTTACCTTACATTAATTTGTTCAAATTCACATTGGTGGGGGCAGGCAGCTGGCTAGTCTGGGGATCTGAACCTGCGACTTTGGTGTTAGAAGGCTGTGCTCTAACTGAGCTAATCGGTCAGCCCCCAAATTCACATTTTTAATTTGATGGCCAAAGGCCCCTGGAAAAGCCATCATGAAACTATAATTGTTCTCAGATGGTATTCCTGGATGTTTTTGGTGCTCACAGGGTTTGTGACCCTAAATAATGCCAGTGACTTCCATATTTCTCTAGTAATGCTCCCAAAGATGCAATGCTGAATGGCTTCCATGTTGTAAGGGAAGGTTCTTGCCCTTTTAAGAGCTTATGATCCCAAAATCGATCATAGAGGCACTAGCCTCAAAGAAATTAGGCTGAATGGGAACATATAATCTGGCAGCAAGTTTTTTCTTTGACCGGTAAGGGGATCTTAACCCTTGACCTGGTGTTGTCAGCACCACGCTCTCCCAAGTGAGCTAACCTGCCATCCCTAAATAGGGATCCGAACCCGTGGCCCTGGCGTCACCAGCACCAGACTCTCCCAAATGAGCCACGGGCTGGTCCTGGCAGCAAGTTTTTTTATTGTCCTACTGTGTGACTAATACTAAAGGAAAAAAATACCTGCAATAACATAATGTTTAGATGTAGACTTTCCTTTTTGTGGTTAACTGCCAAAGGAAAGGAAGAAGTCTACTTGCAGATCAGGTGGAGAAGGTGTGATTTCAGGAGGATGTGCTAGGAATCTGCAGAGGCCAGCTGGTGGGAGATCCAGAAGTGGCCTCGGGAGGTCCTGATATCTCGGAGCGTTGGCAGGGAGGCCTGGTGGGCCCTGAAAGCTATCTTCACAGCATGAAGAGCCGTCATGGGGGAAGAAAGACAAGACTTCACCTGTGTGGCTCTTGAGGTGGAACCAGGACCACAAGGTGGAGATAACAGGAGGCAGAACTTTCTTTTTCTTTTTTCTGTCTTTTTATTTTACTTTTCTTCCCCCCACCCCCCTTTTTTTCCTTTTTCCTTTTTTTTTTTTTCTCTTCTTTTTCTAGAACTTTCTTTTGAAACCTAGTAGGGTATTTTTTTTCTGATTACAAAATTAATATGCATTTCCTTTTTTAAACATAGGTGTGATAATAGTGTTTATTGAAAAAGCAGCATGTTATATAAAGGTTATATGACATAAGCATTTTTCTTTCATAATTAACATTTTTGATCTCTGTATAATATCATATGGCTATACATTATTTAGCCATTCCTTTATTATTAGAAACTCGTGTGGCTTGAATTTTTGCTGATATAAAATCTGTGATGAATATACTTGGGGATGAAACTTTATTTCTTATATTTTGAGCTCTCTTATGGGAAATTCTCATAAATCGTATTACTTGGACCTTCTGTCACAGTTGTATAACATAGGAATAGGTTGCTTCACGAAAAGCCTGAAAGAAAAGGATTTCTTTGTTGGGTTGGGTCTTGGACACGGTCACTATTACAATTTCCATTTCTCCGTTTGATTCTGTGAATCTGTTACAGTGTTGAGTGTTCTGTCTGTGATACTGATTTAGTTTCAGGGAGAACCAAGCTGAGGGTCAGGGATTTGAAGCATAATTAAAAGTTCAGATGGGCTCCACAGATGCATACTGAGCAAATGAGACGATGTCTTTCTAGCTGTGTGCCTTGTTCTTAGTTTCAGGGTATGATTCCTTCATTCTAATAATCCAGTCCATTTTCTTGTGAAGCATACATGACTTCTTCAGTGTTTGTTCCAGTGTTTCCTGTGTCTGTGAGTCACTGTCCTCCCCACCCTTTACACCCATTCCAGAGGTTCTTTTAATACTGTGGAGCAGGGCTGGGCTACCGTGCCATAAATCACAGGTAGTAGCCAGTTCACTGGGTGGGCTGGTGGGCTATATTAGGGGTGGAATCAGTGTTCTGAAGTCACCCTCTTGCATCCCCCAAGGTTTGATGATGTTTTTTCCCCAGGTAATTAAATGTGTATCTTGTGGACCTGGGCTTGGCTGGAATGCTCAAGGGTCCTGAAGATCCTTCTATAGTTTCCTTCTGTTGAACCCATTAAGAGAAGATGGCAAAAGTCAACATAACTAGAGACCTCATCTGTAGGCAGATCAAGGTAAGCAGCCCAGATCTCTGAATGAGAGCATGAGATCCTTTCTTCCCCACAGATTCATTTTACAGATGAAAAAACTGAGGTCTAGAGTCAGTGATTTGCCTAAGGTCATGTAGCTAGTTCGTGGCAGACCCAGGACTAGAATCAGGATCTCTTGCCTCCCCCATCTTCTTTCATCCAAGAACATGAAATTCATGGAGACTCCTCTGTCCAAGCACTTGTGCCTGGACTGCTGAGATTTAATGTAGGCTGGTGAGGTAGGAAAGCCATGAATGTGTTGTGCACATGTGTTGGAGGGTGGGACATAAGAGAGTAAATATAGCTTCTTCGTGTTACTCCAGCTGCTAAGTTGTACATGTAACAGAGCCTGGGAGAGTCTTAGTCCCAGTTCAGTTTAGATTCTTTCTCCTCTTCTTCAAGGCTCTGCTTACTAAAGACTGAATCTGTCCTCTGCAGTTTGTATGTAGAAGACATTCCAATACCTGTGAGATGAATGGATGACTGGGCAGTCAATTTCAGTTAGTGAAGTGGCTTCATGCTTTGTCAGGAGCCACAGAGGTTGAATGGAATAGACTCAACTGAGGCATGATATGCTTCTATTGTAACCCCAAGCTAGAGACAGAAGTTTAATCTCACCACTGCCCAAATTAACTTCCTTTAGTTATTTGACCTCCCTGTGCCTCAGTGTCCTGTTGTTAAATGATGATAATATCTGGCTGCCTGTAGTCTGATCTTGAGAATGAAATCTGAATGAACATGAGAAAGTTTTTTGAAAGGGCAAGTGCTAAAAAAAATTTAAACTTAAAAATTAAAAACTAAGTGGCATACAACATAAACTATGGTCACCATCCAGAAAGATCGAGTGTGTTCCTCTACATGAGCCATGTACTTAGTGCATATTAGTCTATGTGTTTTGTATATTTCTCCCTGAGTCCCTGAATCCTTTTAGCTTTGTCCATTTGTGTTTTGGAGGGTGGGGGGGTGGTGTGTGATTTCATTAGACTGGGTGGCCCTCAAGGACAGGGATCATTTCCTAGAGGCACAGATTCTGCAGATTATTTTTTCCCTTTGTGTACAATACGTGTCTTAAAGATGATGCCTATCCTCTCTAACCTAAATATGGAAACATTTTTTATTTGTTGTTTCCAATTTTCCTTTTTTTAAAAATTTTATTTTCGCCTTTTTGTTTTGTTTTCTTTTTAAATTCTGTAGCACAAGGTAATGCTTAATTATATACTCTCTTCTATTATTATTCAATCCCTGCCCAAGAATAGCAAGCTCCTGGAGGTCAATTCCTTGTTAACTTTTCTAGCTCCTGTGGTGCCCAGCATGGGGCTGTGGATATATAATAGGCACATAACAAACTATGTTGAATTGAATCAATGAAACATGAGTTTGTTTCTGTCCTGCAGGAGCGGGGTGCCCTGAGCAAAAAAAATTTAAACTTAAAAATTAAAAACTAAGTGGCATACAACATAAACTATGGTCACCATCCAGAAAGATCGAGTGTGTTCCTCTACATGAGCCATGTACTTAGTGCATATTAGTCTATGTGTTTTGTATATTTCTCCCTGAGTCCCTGAATCCTTTTAGCTTTGTCCATTTGTGTTTTGGAGGGTGGGGGGGTGGTGTGTGATTTCATTAGACTGGGTGGCCCTCAAGGACAGGGATCATTTCCTAGAGGCACAGATTCTGCAGATTATTTTTTCCCTTTGTGTACAATACGTGTCTTAAAGATGATGCCTATCCTCTCTAACCTAAATATGGAAACATTTTTTATTTGTTGTTTCCAATTTTCCTTTTTTTTAAAATTTTATTTTCGCCTTTTTGTTTTGTTTTCTTTTTAAATTCTGTAGCACAAGGTAATGCTTAATTATATACTCTCTTCTATTATTATTCAATCCCTGCCCAAGAATAGCAAGCTCCTGGAGGTCAATTCCTTGTTAACTTTTCTAGCTCCTGTGGTGCCCAGCATGGGGCTGTGGATATATAATAGGCACATAACAAACTATGTTGAATTGAATCAATGAAACATGAGTTTGTTTCTGTCCTGCAGGAGCGGGGTGCCCTGAGCTTTGAGAGGCGCTACCATGTCACTGACCCCTTCATCCGGCGGCTGGGCCTGGAAGCAGAGCTGCAGGTAAGAGATCCAGTTTGCACCCTGGATGCAGATAACTGCTCTCCATTCTTTGTCTGCAGAGAATCCTCTTGGCATTATTCAAGGCATAAACAAGTTTTTCTCTGTGGGTCATAATTGAGGATTACTTCTCTCTCTTTTGTTTTTTTTTTGGTGGGGGGAGATACCTCTCCTTTTATTAGACAGTTTTATTAGGCAGCTAAATCTGAATCAAGGTCAGTGATTAACATGGTCACATAGAAATTATTTTTTGAACATATTATTTGCTTTGTGCTTGGAAAAAGCTTATTAAATTACTTATCCCTATTTTTACTATTGACTTGGACAATGATGATTCTTACGTGTATACAGGAATTTAGGATTTACAGTGTTTTCATATGCATATACACATAATGTATACGTGCACATGCACACACAGACATAGACACAGACACACGTAACCTTTCTCACTTTAGTTTCAATGCAGTGCTGTGAGGATGTAAATAGGGAGTAAGTATTTATGGGGGGAAAAAAAAGCAGGTTTGGAAAAGCCAGCCACCTTGTTGAGGGCTGCCCTGTCCATTCTGCGGAGGGGCCAGGCCTTTGGTCCAGAAGTTCAGCTGTTTCATTGTATGCGACATAGTCACTACAGAATGTTAGTTCCATTCCCTTTCCTTCCTCAAGATCATGTTTTTTTTTTTTTTTTTTTTTTTTTTTTTTTTTTTTTGACCGGTAAGGGGATCGCAACCCACCGGCCATCTCTATATAGGATCCGAACCGGCGGCGGGAGCGCTGCTGTACACCCAAGTACCGCACTCTCCCGAGTGCACCACGGGGCCGGCCCATGGTGGTGTTTTTTTTTTAAAGATGACTGGTAAGGGGATCTTAACCCTTGACTTGGTGTTGTCAGCACCACGGTCTCCCAAGTGAGCTAACCGGCCTTCCCTATATAGGGATCCGAACCTGTGGCCTTGGTGTTATCAGCACCACACTCTCCCAAGTGAGCCACGGTCCAGCCCAAGATCGTGTTTTTTTTTTTTTTTGTCGTGACCGGTAAGGGGATTGCAACCCTTGGCTTGGTGTCGCCCGCACCGCGCTCAGCCAGTGAGCGCACCAGCCAGTTCTATATAGGATCCGAACCCGCTGCAGGAGCGTCGCTGCTCTCCCAGCACCGCATTCTCCTGAGTGCGCCACAGGGCCGGCCCCAAGATCGTGTTTTGAATACAGCTTTTAACTGCCTTACCCAACTTAGTGTTATCTACAGGTTGAGTAAGAATTCCCCTTGGTTCCTTCAGGTTAGTATTTGTAAGTGATCATATCGATCTTAGAAAAAGACTAGAAGGAAATTTATTGAATATTAGCAGTGCTATCTTAAGGTGGTGAGATTATAGATAGATGATTGTTATTGCTTTCTTCTAATTATAAATTTTCATCCATTATAAAATATAACTACATTAACAGTAATATGGAAAAGTTTCAGATCCCCATACTGGCCAGCTGCCAAAAAAAAAAAAAAGAAATAGTAAAATGGAAAAGATAGGAAAAATAACTTCTTAAACCCATCTCCCTAATACAATTACTATTAGTATTTTGTATACTCCTTTTTATCTCTTACATGTTTTTACATAATTGTAGTCATACTTTATATTGAATTTTGTATTTTTTTTTTCAAGTTAACATATAGTAATCCTTTTCTCCATGTTACCAAGTAGTGATTACAACTTTTTAAAAATTAAAAAAAAATTTTCTGGTCATAGAAGTAATATATATCATAGTAGAAAATATGGAAAAGATAGAAAAATATAAGAAAGAAAATAAAACCACTTTTAATTCTACCATGTAGAGATAAACATTGTTAACATATGGTATATTACTTTGTGTGTCATACAGCAGAATCCTAGTTAAGAGACTGAGCATTGGAGCTGGGTAAATTTACTTTCAAGACCTGTCTTCTCCACTTACTAGCTATATGTCCTTGTGCAAGTTACTTCTAGTTTCCTGATCTATAAAGTAGAGCGATAATTAGAACAATTGTGACGATTAAATAAGTTGATTTGTGTAAATCACTTAATACGGTGCCTGATTCATGATAAGCTGGTTCAATAAGTAATAATTGTGATTCTTAAGTCTTCCATTTTTTTTCCCATGCTTATGTAAACTTTTTTTTTTTCTTTTTTAAAGATGACTGGTAAGGGGATCTTAACCCTTGATGTGGTGTTTTCAGCACCACACTTTCCCAAGTGAGCAAACCAGCCATCCCTATATAGGAATCCGAACCTGCAGCCTTGGTGTTATCAGTACCACACTCTCCCAAGTGAGCCACAGGCCAGCCCCCAATTTTTTTTCTACAAAATTGGGCTCATACCATTTAGACAGTTTGGTAAACCCTTTTATGCTTTTATATCATGATTTTTTCCCATATCTCTAAAAATTCTTTGAAAACATACATTTTAATATATTTTATTATTTATATATTTTTTATAGTTTCTCCCATATGGGATGGGGCATATTATTTCCTTTGGGACATAACTCGAAGTACATCCTTCTCGTGCAGTTGGGGTTAGGGATGGGGAGGAGTGGATTTTACCCCCAGGAGAACATTTGATAATGTCTGAAGACAACTTTGGTTGTCAGAACTAGAAGGATACTACTGTTATATGGTGGGTAGAGGCCCAGGATGCTGCTAAAAATCGTACAGTGCATAGTACAACAAAGAATATGCAGCAACGGATTATGCAGTCCCAAATGCCAATAATGCCAAGGTTGAGGAATGTTGCTCCAGCTGGCTGGGCTTCACCTTTCAGCTGTGCTTCTACCTAACCCAGGTACTGTCTCTACCATCTTTTTCTGGTTTGATAGCTTCTTCCAAAATAGACTTGGAAAGCTCTTTAAATATAAAACTGGATCCTCTGTATTGTTTCCCATGGTCTGAAATTCAAGTACAAAATGATGTTAAGAGAAACTTTCAATTTGCACTTTCCTAAAGGCAGCCTTGGCTAGGACATATAGTAGAGTGGTGCCTGGCATGAAGGAATGCACACCAGTTTGCAGGTTTAAAAAAAAAAAAGACCTAGTTTAAATTCCAGTTCTGCCACTAGTGAGACTTAGAGAACTGAGAGTAGATGGAAAGAAGACTGGGAGAAAAATAGGTTTGGGACAGATCAGGAGTTGAACATGTTAAATTTGAAAGCCTGTTGAATAGTCTTTTTTTTGCTACTGGCGGGTATGGGGATCCGAACCAACTGTAGACTTTGATGTTATCAGCACCACTGAGCTAACCAGTCAGCCCTTGTTGGATAGTCTTGTGGAGATGTCAGGTAGGCAGTTGACAGTACTAATTGAGAGAGAGAGAGCTCTGGACTATAGGAAGAAATCTGGAGACTTTGAATGTCTATAAAGCTTTAGAAAATAGGTTCTAGGACTTAGCTCTGAGGGACTCCAGCTTTCAGAGGTTGAATACAAGCTAAGGAGATAACAAAGATGAAGAAAGAGTAGTCAGTGAAGTAGAAAGACAAACAAAACCAGGAGAGTGTAGAGGTCAAGAAATGAGAGTATTTCAAGAAAGGTGTGAACATTCCTTCCAAGAGGTTGAGTGAGATGAGGACAAAACAATGAGGTCACTCTTTACCTGAGCAGTTTTATTGGAGTGGCAGGAAGAAGATCCTCTTACCAGTCATCTTTAAAAAAAAAAAAAGGAGTGAATTGGAGGTGAGGAAGTGGCAACAGCAAGTGTTGACAACTCTTGAAAAGCTTTTTTACAAAAAGGAGCAGAGGCATGGGGCAGTAGCCAGAGGCGTCTATGGGATCAAAGGAAAGATTTACAAGAACAGGAAGAAATATTAAAGCACGTTAGTATGTTGACAAGAGAGGGAGGGGTTGCTGATCCAGGAGAAAAACAGAATAACTGAAGGAGGAAAGTCCTGGGGAAAGCTGGAGGGAATAGGAATCAGAGTACAAGCAGAGGGCAATTCTATCATTAATAGGAGCAGGGACACGTCTGTCATTGTTACAGGGTCCAGCAGAGTCTGAGATCAGGAGAGGGATGAACTAGGATAAAAATCTGGAGAATCATTGACATAGAGATAGTATGTAGTAACAGTTTTCAAAATGTGGTCTTCAGACCCCTGGAGATCCTCACAACCTTTTCAAGGTTATCTGTGAGGTCAAAACTACTTTCACAGTAATATTAAGACATTATTTGCAAAAATTATTACCCCCAAAATTAATTCATTGGAAAATTTGCAAAAAAATCCTATACTGGCCAACCACAAATAAAAAAGAAAAAGAAAAAGTGGAGAGTAAAACTACTGTTGTCTTAGCAGGAGTCAAGGCAAGTATCATCAAGCTCTCTCTGAATTATTCACCCCTGTATTAGTATATTTGTGTTGCTGTAACAGAGTATCTGACACTGTGTAATTTATAATGAAAAGAGGTTTATTCGGCTTACAATTCTGGGACAGCTGCATCTGGCATGGGCCTCAGGCTGCTTCTACTCATGGTGGAAAGCGGCAGGCAGCTGGCAGGTACAAGAAGATCACATGGCGAGAGGAAGCGAGCAAGTGAGAGAGAGAGAGATGGGAGGTCCCAGGGTCTTTTATACAACCAGCTCTCACAGGAACTAACAGAGCAAGATCTGACTCAGGCCCTCCTCCCCTAGGGAGAGCATTAATCCATTCATGGGGGATCTGCCCCCATGACTCAACTCCCAACACTGCCACATTGGGGATCAGATTTCCACATGAGTTTTGGTGGGGACAACATATCCAATCTCTATCAACCCCCATGCACTTGCAATGACAACAAGAACAAAGCCAGTTTTATTTAAAATGTCCTGGATGTTAAGCAATAAATCATTAATTTTATTAATGTCAACCTTTAAATTTTAGGGTACTTCAAAAAGTTTATGGAAAAATAGAATTAAAACATAATATGGGGGCCAGCCCGTGGCTCACTTGGGAGAGTGTGGTGCCAATAACATCAAGGCCACAGGTTCGGATCCCATATAGGGATGGCCGGTTAGCTCA